CTTTGGTCTTCAAGCCCAAGACCTAATAAAAATCAGAGAATCTGAAAGAAGATCCAGGTCATCAAATCAAATTTTTATTGTCTAGCTCATTCTCTATGATACTCTCTTTTATTCTGATCTCTCTCCACCTTTTCTCTCAAACAAACTAAAACGCATTAAACTTTTTCATATAATTGTTTTTTACGTCTCTTTTTAGTAATTTCCTTTTATTCCGGGGTTTTTATATTGTATATATTTTTTTTAAAAAATCAGTTTTAGTTTGCAATAGGAATATTGTTCATTTTAATCATAATGTCATCCTTTAAAATATATATATATATAATTTTGTTTATATTTCCTATTCATATTATATTATATTCTAATTATATAAGCATAATTTAAAATTATAAAAATAAGCGATATTATATGTTATAGTATATACTGTGCACTATGTATAATAAAGATCTATAATGGAAGGATTTTAGCTTGCCTGTCCCCTTCGGTCTTCTCCGGAAGGGCGTGGGCGGGTTTTCTTATTTTAAATGAGTGGGTAGCGGGCAGGTTAAAAAATATAATTTAAAATAACATGGCCGGTGAATTTAAAATACATTTTCAGGCGAAATGGGCAGAACTAAGCAGAGAAAACAGCCATTAATATAACTTTTAAACATTGGGCAGGCGTGTTAAAAAAATAAAAAGAGTGAGCGGGCTTTTTGGTTAAGACTCGCCCATTGCAGACTTCTAATGTCGGATGTTACGAAATCTTAAATATAACTCTTTAAAGTAGCGCGAATAAAATTATTTGTGTATAGTATTTTATTAACCCTTCTCATGGATTACTGTTTGAACCGAAACCTAAAACGGCCAAGTTTAATAGGAATAGAATAAAGATAGTGTAAAGGGAAATGAACCAATATCCGAAATGATTGTGCTTTTGAAAAAATTATTATTTTTTGTTAAATATATTGTAAATTTTTAAAAAAGTGACAAATATCCAAAATATTTTAAATTAATTTTTATCTATAATATAATAATAGGAATCTAATAAACATAATTTACGCTTGTGAAAAAATTATAATTGTTAAATAAGGTGAATTTTCTAAAGGGAATCTAAAAAGGTGAGTGACAAATATCCAAAATATTTGAAAAAATAAATTTATATATATAATATAAAAATAGGAATCTAATAAATATAATATAAAAGGGGAATGACCAAGTCCTAAATGGTCATTTAAACAAAAATTTATACTCTTTATTTTTAACTAAAAAAAAATCTATTTTAATTTTGGCGGATAGTATATTTATTTTTAATCAAAAAAAACTATTAATTGTATATTGCATTTTGATCATCATTTTATTTTGCTAAATGTCGACACAATTATCAATCTTGTTTCCCTTTTACCAACCTCAATCATGAATAATACTAATACAAAAAAATGCAATCAAAATATTTTATCTGATTTATTTTTTTTTGTAAAATTTTTAAAATTAGAGATCTGTAAATATCGGTCCTGCCCTTACCCTGGCAAGGCCTATTTACAATGAATAATTCGGTTCGGGCTGGGTTAGGTTGGGTTGGGTTTCGGACCTAATATTTTCTTAAGATATTCGAGCCGAGCCGCGCTTGCGACACTTGATTGTTTACTTTATTTATAAATCCTTACAAATGATTGGAGCCCTTTATTTCATTCATTCTTTCACGAATAAAAATTAAAGATATTATTTTTTTTAAAAAATAAATATTACATAAAATCTTGTTCTTTTATTTATTTAATTTTGATTTTGGGATGGCCCTAGCCACCGCCTTTCTAACTATTCTCTTGGACTTTTTGTAATTTGTCTTGTCATCTGGGTTTTTGGATTTGTACCATATTTTATATAGGGCTTTTTTCTCCTGTAGTGGTTTGTACCTCTTCATTCCACCACCATATTTCTTAGTATGATTTGTTGCCTCCCCTTGTATAGCAAATTTTATGTGTCATAAATTTAGAAAATAATTAAGGTTTACATGTAAATTTATTTCAAATAAATAGGAAATATATATGGGCATTTGCCCACGCTAAAAAAAATTATAATTTTTATAACGCTAAAATTAAAATTATTTTTATTGTCATAACTCGATATCCAGCTTAACAAGATTCTCTCTCATCTTAGTAGATATTACAATTTTATGCCATCACCCCCCCCCCACTATCTGGTCCTCTATTACATTCAACTCTTCAAATATTGGCTTAAAATATGGAAAAGCGAGAAAAATATGGTATAAAAATATATATATGTGAGTTTTTTGTACCCTATTCATATCATTCTCTTAATCTAGTTCTAAATGATGCGACCAAATTAAATATAGATGTTTTTTAGGTATTGTGCACTAAACTCTTGTTGGTCAATATAAAAAAAACATATATATAACAAGTTTAATGATCAAAACTTTTAAGTAATACTCGCTGACCGAGCTAATTAGATTCGGTGCGCGGGCTTTACTATATAAAATTGGTTTAATGCCATTGAATGCCATTGAACAATTGGTTAACGATATAAGGTTAGTTAAACTGTTAGGGTGCTAAAACAAAAGATGAAACCAAAAAACCTAGCGACAAATTCATTTATACTCAAAAAACTATGGTATTTGATTTTTACTTAGCCGATGAAAGGTAAGATACATTAATAGATTACAGAAACGATGATGGATTTGATTTCCTCCTCATAAGCGCTAAACATAAAGAAAAATGATGATTTAATTTTAGATATATCGACCTGAAGTGCCCTTGATCAGTTGTGAATTTTGATAAAGATATTATATACAAATATTATTAGATGATCTTAGGAAAATAAATTCCTAAAAGAGAGGAGGTTTTAATCTTTCGTTTAATATATTTTATATTACTTAATCTTATTAATCTAACTTCAGTCCTAAATTATTCACATTTAAATGATAAAAAATATTTTTGAGTATAATATGAGTTGACGTAAGATAAAAAAAAATATTCATAGATGTCATGATATATCACAGGACGACTACATTTCAAACCTTCAATATAATTAGTCTTTGAATATATTTAGGATTTGAATTTTTCCCTATAGTCCGCTGTGCCTTGGTTCCTCCTATTATTTATATTATTTTGTAGCCATCGCCATAGTTTCAATATTTTTTAAATTTAATGTGGATGCCGAGTGCACTAATTCTCTACTATACTCAAATTCAACAAAAAATTATAAATGCTATCATCCAAAATATAAACTTAATTAAAAGAGCAGTTAATTTTAAACGCCTGTTTTATTTCATCTATGGAAAATTATGCCATTTCCAGACAAACAGTTTTTCAAAGCTATTTTCTTGGCATGTTTTCAGTTATTTTTTCTTTTTTATTTCCAAACAAAAGATTATAATATATTGAATTAATAAAATATACAATATAACATTAATACACAAAATATAAATATTTGACCTTAATATTTCAACCAAAGGTGTCTAAAACCAGAAGACTAAATTTGATGGCCGATAGCCAAATTTAATAATAAATGAACAAATGTATAATAGTAAATTAGAAAATTTAATAGTAAATGAGCAAACGTACTTGCAAATTACCCGAATACCGTTTCGCCATTAATCGTCAATTAGTTACAAAGGACCGAATTTAATAGCAGATAGGCAAATTTAATAATAAATGAGCAATTTTTAATAACATATCGGAAAATTTAATAAATGAACAAAGGTATTCCCTATTTGAGCGATTTTTCTAAAGGCACGATTAAGATTTTAGCTAAATAATATTGTATAAGCATCGAGGTTTGGAAAATAGATGTCTTAGCATTTCTTCCACCTATTTGCAAATGTTATTTTGGTTATAATCTTAATTGGGCTTTTTTTAAATCGAACCGAATCGGGCTATTAAACACTATTCAAAAGCCCATTAAAATTCTTGCTATCTTATCAAATGCAAGCATATTTTTAATGTTGTCAAATAACTAAATTTGATTTTGAAAAATACTAGTTTAATTAAGTTAATCAAATGAAAAAAAATTTAATATTTTACATTAAATCATCTATCCATCAGCTGCTTTTAAAGCTGAGGTTTAGCTAAACTGATAAGGTAAAATTTATGTTTATTTTATAGCCTACCAATTATATTTAAAAACATAAATAAAATATTTTTATTATATATATATCTAATTTTTCCAAAATTAAAATTATCTAAATAAATAAAATAGAATATGGATGAAAAGGAAATCCATAAATTTATAATATGTAGAGAACAGATATATTATATAAAAAAAATAATGCACATAATAAAATTTTAAAATCATAAATATATTACTGTTAGATGGCGTAATAGATTTAAAAATTTAGTTTTTAATTAAAAATATTATGAATTTTAGGAGCAAAAATAAAAAATTTTAAAATTTCTATCATTCTTTTTGGAGTTATGATTTCCATTCTCAATTTATTCCTTTTTTTAGAATTTTGGGTTTTATAAAATATGATATTTTTTTGACTTCTTTTGTATAAACCAATTTATATAAACATAAGAGTTATGATGTTCAGATTTAGTCATTTTTTTTAGAATTTTAGGTTTTAAAAATATATTATTTTTTTGAGTACACTTTCTTCCAAACATGGCGTCTTGGTATAAGATCCTCACTGTAGATTTCAATATGTGCATTTATTGCTAGCCATTTTCAGGCACATAGATTAATTGACCAACATCTGTTTGACCACGATCTTTTTTTGAATATAGCTACGCCGGAGTGGGCAAAATCTGTCACAACCATAAACCTAATTCCGATCTCTGTAAAACAGAATGATTGAGATCTACAACTTGTGAAAATTCCGTTTATTACTTTACTAGATCTATATTCATTGAATTGAATATATCAAGGATCGGGAATATTAATTTTTAAATCTTATTATATCTAGCAATCTTAAAAATTGAACAACCACGAGTTCAGCTATGCTCTTTGTAATAGGCTCAATATTCCTTTCTCATTACTATATAAATGCAGTAAATGGCATACTGATGATGGCAACATGGCGCTGCATCATTTGCAATAGTATTCCCAGTAGTAGGCAAACCAGACACTCGAAATGCAATCAAATCATATTTCTTGCACTTAAATCAGCTGGTTTTCCTACATTGGAGCCTTTTGATCTCTTTTCCAATGGTAGACGTCTTGACGGAATCACACGTATTTCATACAAGGAAAGTCATTAATATGAGATTTTTCTTGTCTGGACACAAACTCCCTTTCCAATTTTAATAAGGACACTCTGAACATAGCGCTGAATTTTAAAATCTCCAAATACAGCAATGATTCTTCTAATTAAATATTCGTAATAATCATTTGCTACACTTTAGCCTCGTGAAGGCTTTTACTTAAGGTAGAGGATCGTAATTCTCATTCTTGCTAATTATGTTTGTTTTATCAATTCAATCTCTCCTGGTTTATGGTATGAGAAGGTTTAGAATATGTGTGCTGGTTTTGCTTTTATTTATTTTGTATTTTACCCTATTTTATTTGTTCAATATTGTCTTTTTTATGATTTTTTCTAATTCGTAATGGTTTACTAACCCTATTTTTATTACATATCATATGATAATTATACATTTTTATATAAATATTTTTTTAACTTTGTAAAATATTGCAAGTGTTATAAATTATAAAATAATTTGCTTTCCAAAATTATAATAAATAAATATAGATGGCGTTAATGACAATATAAATAATTTATATATTCGAATAATGTAAATTTAAGAGAAAGTTATATATTTTTTTATATTTCCAAAATTTGCATTAAAAAATAGATAATTTTATAATGTAAGATTTAGGATAAAGAAAAGTGTCGAAATAAATCAACGATGCATTAATACTTAAAAATTATCACCTATACTCTACTCTTGATAGAATTGGGCAAAGTGTCGGCGTATAGACATTATCAATAGAGGATAATTTGTATAAAATTACCTTTTTTGTTGATATTTTATAGGAGGAGGTACGGATAAGAAGATAGTACGGAAATCCCTCATTTACATGATAACATATGTTTTTATTTTATTTCAAAAAAAAAATTAACACCTTAAATACATTTATCCATCTCACGTTTGTCACTGTGTAAATAAAAAAGTAACAGGTAAACATAAAATTTATAATGGTTAAGCGCTATATTTTTATAATTGGCATCATTTTGTTAAATTTTTTATCATCCCTACTAATTATATTTTTTAACAAATGGATATACATTAATTTAGGATTTCCAAATTTATACTTAACCTTTCTTCATTTTATAACAACATATATAGGCATTTATGCATTAAAACGTTTATCTCTTTTTACTGTAAAAGAAATTCCTATTAAAGAAATATTATACATATGCCTAGCCTTTTGTGGATTTGTGTTATTAACTAATTTTTCCTTACAAAATAATACAATAGGAACCTACCAACTTATAAAAATTCTTACAACTCCAACAATTATATTTTTGCAATATTCTATATATGGAAAAAAATTTTCAGGGAAAATTATTCTTACTTCAGTAAGATCTTTTTAATAAAACAATATTTAATTTTTATACAGTTGCCAATTATATGTGGAATTTATATTAATTCTTATTATGATTTAAAATTCAATCTATTGGGATTAATTTATGGACTTTGTGGAGTTATAGTGACTTCATTTTATCAAATAGTATAAATTTTAAAATATAATTATTAAACATAATATATATCTAGTGGGCTGGAGAAAAACAGAAAGAGTTTCATGTAAACTCTTTACAACTATTATATTATTTAAGTCCTATGTCCTCTCTATTTTTATTTTTCATAATAATGGCTAGTCAACCACTATCATTCAATAATTTGGCATCCAATCATGAGTATGATCCATATGTAGCCTTTGTAAAAACAATTAAATTATATGACTATATTTTGTTTATATAATAGCTTATCATATTTCTGTCATGCATTTTTGCTCTATTAGTCAATGTATCAACATATTCTTTGATAAGACAGACATCCCCTTTGACGTATATTTTAAAAAAAATTTGACATATATTTTAAAAAATTTAAATGTTAATTTAATTATTTTACATTTATCATAATGTATTTCATACAAAATTAACATGATTAACCATGCTTTTCAATTTTTATAAAAATATATTTTAAAAAGATATATCACCTCTAAAATTTTTATTTCATTGTTTTTATGAATATAATTTTTAAGCTTTTGTTAATCATAAATCAGCTTGTATTTTTAGAATAAATTTGTGTTTAGTTGAATTCACAACTGCTCTATTTGATTTGTATGAATAATTAAATTCATTATATTAAACTATGCTTTATATGATATAAAATAATATAGGCAAACTTGCCTTATTGAATTATCCTCAAGAATATCTAGATTTATCTCATTAGAAAAAAAAATTTGTATATACATTAGCATTCCAAGATATACCTCTTCAGAATTAAGTCAAAATAAGTAATTGATTATGAAATAAATATAGACATAAAAGTGGGGAAATCTGATGTTAATTCTGTATACATTTGATTCGATTTTTTGCTTGGGACTTCTTCTGTGATGACTCCATTTTCTCTTCAAAGTTAATAGGGATAAACTAAGAAAAACAGGAAAAGAGCATTAAATATTGCCAACCTTTGATCCGGAAGCTCATCTGCATTAGCTTACATGACAATAAGAACCTAAAACAGCAGTTATCCTTGGCTATACAAGGGGTCAATTTTAGCTACCTTCTTATGAAAATGAGGGTGATTGAGTGTCAAAGAGTGAAATGGACTAATATAAGAAATTTGAAGAGCCTTCACAATACTTACTTGATATTTCACACTCATTAATTTCTTCCCAGTTTCGAAATCGCTATCAATTCAGTGTGCAACAGACCAAGAACAACAAATACTTTCTTCCGTTAAAATAACCTTTATTCCTAGTAGCAATAGCAAATACTCTTGGCATCTTGAAGAAACATTCAAATTATAAATGAGATTAGCAAACAAACGCATGACCAATAAAAATGAGACCTTTGTCAATCTATTACAATTGTTTGCCTATCAAATCAATCGCATATCAATTCGCTTATTCATTTTAAATAACTTTCTTCCATACTATATATAAAAAATAAGCTCGTATTATATAAAAAAGTTTAAATGTTTTTGACTAAAATATTTTACAAAAAAATAAGCAAATTAGAAAGCACACACTATTAGTCTGTCTAGTATTAATATTTTTAAATTTTGCTCATATTAAATTATTTATTTTTACAAAAGGTATAATATGATAGGACATCTCAAATTTTGCTCAACTATATTAGGCGGATATTTTATATTTCATGATCCTATACAAAAAACACAAGTTTATGGAATTTTGTTAACAATGATTGGTGTATTATCATATTCTCTTCTAAAACTCAAAGAACAATTTAACCATAAACCCGATAATTTTCTCGAGAAACCAAATTCAAAATACATTATATAGTTTTTTTTAATAAAGCAAAGATCAAATTAAAAATTGTGATAAATAAATTATTCTAGTCATGTATATAAATTTTTATGAAAATAAATGATTGCACTTTAATAAAGGTTATTCGACGAATTAATTTATAATTCTTAACATTTTATCCTAATATTCAAACAAAATACAATTTTAAATATTTATTTGATCGTTTCCCTCTTCCATATGATTTATGCCATTTTGATCGTCTATATTTTGCTCCGTTTCAACAGTACTCTCATTATTAGGAGTGTGAACCTCATCGTTGCCTTCAGGCCTTAAATGCCTTCTCATGTGTGCAAGCATTCGTATCATGAACGAGGCTGGTATGGTAACAATATCCTTAGTTTCTTTCAACATAACGTCGTTTCGGTTCAACACATCTTGTATAAACTTCTGACTTTCACTCTCAGATAATATCGAATCCTCCTGGCAAGGGCTTGGCCCCCAAAATTTTATGTCGTAATCTATACCGCTAGAAGCTAATTCTGAATATTTTTTGTTTTTTTAAAGTGTGATTTAAGTCATAAAGTACCTTTAATTATTTATTTATCCAGTTTTACAAAAAATTTAGCGACCAATATTTTATCAGTGGCCCTAAACATGATAATTAACCCTCATAAATTTATAAAAAAAATTTAGTCTATATAAAGCAATGAATTGATAACAATAAAATTATCTAGCAATCAAATGGATAAGAATTATTTGTAAACCAAAAAAGTGGTAATGGCAGGTCTTACTGATAATTTCTCACGCATATGAAATAAATGTCTTTATTTTTAAAGCGAATATTCACTCGAAACGAAATATTATAATATTATTTATGAAAAATTAACTTATTCCACATTAACTTATTCCCTTTCATGGTTTGCAAGATAACCTATATTTATTGTCATGTTCTCTTAATGGAAGAAAAACCTCTTAGGAACTGATATTTCTTTATTTTAAGCAATAAATTGAGATCTAATAATAGCATAACGAAATATCAAAAAAGCATTAAGCAGGAGGCATCTGGACACCCCCCCCCTCCCCATAAGCCAATTTATGAATTTTAGATATAATGATTTTTTTATAGTTAATATGTACTTTACGTGAATAATATCAAATCTTTTAATTGAAGATTAACTGATCATTCTTAGGTTAAGTAGTTTATAATATTCATAAATACCGATATGATACGGATGTGGTTGGACACAATTTACAACGTGTTTATCGGCTTCCAAAATTTTGACTACTTCGGCAGTGTTTTTATCCCAAAAAAATATATGACCACAATCTGAACCCGATATCACGAAATTATCACTCCAGAAATTGCATTCTTTGATCTGGATTAGGCATATATTAAAAAGAGAAAAAATTAAATAATTATAATAGTAATTGGTAGTTATTTTTAAAATTGATTCAAATATTGGGGTTTTTAACTCTCATCATGTAATTATTTAATAGAGGTTAAATTTTATTTTTATATAGTAAATCAATTAACCATAAGAGGGTGAAGATAATAAGGAAATTCATTAGGGTGACTAAAAAACATATATAAGCTATTTCAATTTTATTTTCGCTTTTTTTAAAAAAAAACAATAAAATCAGGCATCATAAATTTTATTTTACATTCCACAAATATGGTCATCAGAAAACCTTATTATTTAACAAGATATTCATCATTTAAATTTTTTGAATGACTGTCCAAACGAAGACCAGTTTTTCAAAAATCAGTTCGGTTTTGTATGGTATGTGATTTTCTTCAGTTTTCGATTATTTATTTTCCGAAATCTTCCGGTAAAAAAAGACAATTATAAATTACCATGGTTCGAGAATTTCGATGCCCTTTGTATATTTTTTGAGTTTTGTAACGCCGACAGACAGTGGTTTTATTTTGTTTGCTCCTCCTTTCCCGTAAATGCTGGAGAATCGATATTTTTTTATTACGATTTTTTATATTCGTGAATAAGACTTGGTGTCTCGTATTCTCAGAAGTTTCGTTAGGCGAATGAGTCTCGAGTGAAACATGATTGTCGGTAATAGGTTCATTTACGTAATCGGGGTTGGGCGAGTTTTTGGGAGCGGGATATAAATTTTGACTAACTTCGTGATGTGCTGAGGGAAAATAAACGGGTTCGTTGGGGAGTCTATCGTTTAGTTAATGTGATAAATATTTTTATTAATACATAAGAAAAATCAAAGGAGAGTTTGATAATAGCTTCTAAATTGATCAATTATATTTCTGCCTATGATTAAGAGACGAATAAAAGTAACAAACATAACAGTATCATTTTTGCAATTTATTTTTAAGCATCTAAAGGGGAACAGGGCCTTTTAGGATGTGGGGGGGGGGGGGGTGGGGGGTGCGGCTGCAAAACTGTCATTAAATTGATGGGGGTAGCTCTGATTGTTAATTCCTTTTTTTATTTGAATTTATTATTGTTTTGCTAAGAGTCAAATGGGGAAGGGGGTGAAAGTACATTGTCATTGGAGGGTTAGAAGTCTTTGAAAATAGATAGTGAAATTAATTTTAATAAAAAATGTTACGTTGTTATAATTTTAACATTACTAATGGATTTACTTGTCTATAATAAGCAATTATATATTGCTAAATAAAATTGTAAAACCACACTTATGAATCAGAACTATTTCGAAAGTATTTATAACGATTCTTGTTTCGGTTCGGAATATCGGTTCTTTCTTATTTTATAGTTATGCTTGACACCCGCATTATTATAATAGTTGCATTCACTATTTTAACAAAATAGGTAACATAATGTGACAAATAAAAATTGCATTGCTAGTTTAGCTATAGGTAAGAAGAGATTTTTTTTAATTAAAAAAATTGTACATACTTGCAATATAAGTTAGCTTGTGAATCACTATCATTCAATTGATTGCTCGTTAAGAGATCTATTGGAGATACATATTTCAATTTAAAAAAAATTTTTTTAATAGATAAATTTTGTAATTTATGTGCTTAAAAATTGATTATATAATTAATAAGTTTAGTAAATCACACAAAAATGAGAATATAAATTAGAGGTCTGCAATGCCCGGCCCGGTAACGTGTGATAAAAACTGGGCAAAAGGATAATTGATGAATTCTGATATTTGATAGAAGTCATAATCCATAAGGTGTAGTGTTTTTAATTTAACCATTATATCAAATATTATAAATAGTTGTTTATTTTGGTGTTCAACTATATATATTTCGGGTTAGGCTTGGTATTTTAAAAAAAACTGGGCCAGATAATCTTAAAAATTGTAGAGGTCGGGCAAAGTAAAAATTTGACCGGATTAAGCTAAATTTTAAATGGGCCGGGCCTGAAAATTTTGCAATCTGCAGAACTCCAATATAAATACACATGTTTATATGTATTAATACTTGATCCGTAATTTCCGGATGTAGTTGGAATATCGTTCGTTATCGTGTTTAATTGAGTTTCCGGTATTCTCTCATTGCTATCCACCGATATGGAATCGTTATTTTTGTTAGCGTTTTCGTTGTTCACGTTAAAATTTTCATCATTCTTAATAGCGATATTAGAAATTCGATTTCTTTTAAAGTCCAAAAATTTATTCAACATCTCTGTCATTTGTTTGACCAAAACTTCTCCTAATCTATCGTTCCTATCAGTGGATCTTTCATTATCTGTAGACTCCAAGATATGGGTATTAACAACATGCGAATCATTTTCGATAGAGGCATCATTATTATTTGGGTTTGTATTAGGAGTTCGCGTTTGAGTGTTTTCGGGTTTCGAATTAGGGCCAGTGTCCGACCAATCACCTCTTAGCCTTATTTGGTAATTCATGGAATTTTTGTGGTCCATGTTGTTAGGTTCCTGAAGAGGATGTAATGGTTAGGTGTTTTTTTTTAAAAACATACTACATCATAAATTAAAAAGGCGCTTAAGATACACTAACACATACTATTAACAGATTTATTAAGACTTAATGAATTATGTATTATATTCATTTGGAAGGATTTCAGGCACACTTAGAGAAATAAAGAAATATGGAGAATAATTTAATAAGATTACGTTTAATGTCGAATCACTTGTGAGATGGAAGAAGAGATGGAGAGATAATATATTCGTATTAAATAGATCTTTACTGATCTTATGTAAAATTATAAAATGGCAAATTAAAATGATGGTGGTTTTTATAAATTTGGTATTTTAAAAATATTTTCTTTTTTTTTACCTAATTTTAGTTTAAATAAAATTTAAATATTAAAAAAAACGGTCCGGACTGATAGGACCGAATCGTTGACCTTCATTAGTGCTAAGGATTGGTGTTATTAAACTTGAGCCGATTTTTAAAAACGGTCAGATTAAGTTTATAGCTAAGATAATATTATGTAAGCCTCGAAATTTGGCAGAGGTCTAAAACATACTGCCATCGAGTAACAAAATCCGCGCTTACATAATAATATCTTGGTTAAAATCTTAATAGAGCCGTTTTTAAAAAATTGGGCCGTTTAACTAAAATAAAATCATGATTAGCATATTTTTTCAGGAGTGGACAAATATCTGCTCTGTTACACCATATGGAGACTTTGTGGAATATAAAGATAAGTGGTTGGAAAATATAGAGGAAAAAAAATATAATGTCAGATTAAAGGAAGTAATATACAAATGAAATCTAATTTTATATTAACGTAAATTTTTTTTTATTTGTGGTTCAAGAATTGATCTGCGAAAAATAAATAAAAAGGCGTTTACAAAAGCTTTATCATCATATAAGCAAGATGGTTATGATATATATCAGAGACCCCCTGCATTTTAATATTTTTAAATATACCAGGGCCAGGCTTAAAAAAATTTTTTTTTAAATACCCAGGCTGAACCGTATATTTTAAAACCAAATATTTTAAATCGCCATTATAATCTATAAAAAAAAATTAATATAACATATTTTAATAAAATTCGAGCTGGGCCTGGAATTATAAAACCAGGCCAGGCCGTGCAAATGGTACCTCTGCAGTAATGTTGTTAAACGGCTCGTGTTTTGAGCCGATAATTTAAAACGGCTAACTCAAAATATTTTAGCCAGAAAAATATTGCCGCCTCGAGATTTCGATAATATATGTCTAAACCTTTGTTCATTCTATGAGCAAAATCTTCAGGCTTGCCTAATATTTTTCTGGGTGAAATATTGAGTTAGACGTTTTTTAAAAATCGGCTCAAAACGAGCCGTTTAACAACACTACTCTGCAGGTCTGCGGTAAATATATTATTAATTTTTACAAACTTGATCATTTGTTGTATTTAAATGGTTGTCAATTTCGGGTTCTTCATAAAATTCCTAAAATATACAAATTTTTTATAACGAATCTACGATTACGTTTTTCTAAACCTGAGTGTTAAATAAATATATATGGTTTCCCGAGTAACTGACTAAGATTTCGTGGCTGTATGGATTGATGGCTATGGAAGTTATCCTATGGTACGTGTCATTCAGTTCTTTTGCCATATAGTATCCATACATCGCTGATAAACTCTGTTCAAAATCGTTTCCTGTTATATTTTAATTTTTTTTAAGGATCGAATAATACTTCAAAACAAAAATGGAGGAAATAATTATTTATTAGATGTACAAGATCCAGGATCAAATTCTTCACCAGTACCGTATTCTAATTTTTCCTTATTTTACACAAAACTTTAATCGAATTATTTACTATTCGTTTATCTTCTAGAGATCTGCAAAGCCCGAACGGCCCGAAAGTCAGGGCCGCGGACCGGTAAAATTAAAGAACCGGACTGTGGAATTCGCGCAAAAAAAATTTAGGACTGGATCGGACAATTTATAGATAAAATAATTAGCATAATTTTAATACAGCTCTGGCATTATTATTTTGATATATATTTATTTTTTTAATTTCAAGCTAATATTTTGATTCAAACAATTTTGGAATAAATTACAATATGCGTATTTTTGTGTATTTTAAGAGCTGTCTTATTAAAATACAAAATCTATAAATAATTTAGTAAATTTACAAAATTTTAAAATTTATTTATATGATACAATTACAAATGTGCGCAGATAACAAATAAAACACAATTAATTCATAAAAAAATTGTTGTCTAAATTCATATCCATGGAAGTTAGATGTAAGAATAGGCAAATAATTAGTTAGATATTAAAACGTGATGGCAAGAAAATTTGTAAAAACATTTCAAATGGGCAATCATGACTATTTGTAAAATTTGTACAGCGTAGGGCGGAAAAATTTAAAAAACAATTATAATGGGCTGGGCCTAACAAAATAATTTTGGCTGAGCCGAACAACTTGTGTAAAAATTCTTAAAGGGGCAAAGCGATCCGGGATTTGCAGACCTCTTAAAATCTTATACAAAAAAATTAATATAATTTTCGGCAGTATCTAATATTTAATTAATATGGTTAGGGATCGTTTTTTTGTGTGTTGTAAGTACATTGTTTCTTAATTTCAAGCTAGATTTTAATTTTTAAAATTAAATATTCGATTAAAAAAGGAACTGGTTAAAAGCTTTGGCCTAATCGGGTACATCTCTACTAATCGTTGCAAAATTAGTTACTGTAACTAATAACATTTTTTAGATAGAGTTACTTTTCATCATCATCCTTATATAATGATTTACCAAAAAATGACTATTGATTAAATATAATGTCTCAATTATAGCCAGCATTCCTGTAGAACGTTTTTTATTACTAGGAAAGCTTTTATAATACCAATTTTGAAAATATAATAGTGTTGAAATAACGTTCTATTGGGCTCAAATTTTTTTAAGGTTATTGTTATTCATAATATTTTTGTTGCAAATAAATTTATTGTGACATTTTTTTCTGTGAAAAGATTACATTATCATCAGGGCTATTATATCCTTATTATATTTTCATTAATTCCTTTGATTAAAATGAAATTTATATAACAAAAATTTTTAAAAATGAGCTATATAAATCATTTATAAAGTAAATTGTAATGTAACTAGTTACTTTCTAAAAAATATAATTAGTAGCCATTAACCAACAGTTAAGAACTTGTAATTGTAACTAGTTAATGCTTAAAAGTAGCTTGTAAGAATAATAATATTATTTTGTACATAAAAAAATTGGAGAGAATCTAAAATTAGGTAGTATAAATTTTGAAATATAAAACCCCCAATATTTAAATTGAGCCTTCTATGATCAAAAAGTCTAACAGAACTATCCAAGCAACCACATACAATATTATTAGGGGCAGAGGAATCAATAGCTATGCAAGAGATAGGTTGGCCACAATTGATCAAAATATTCTAAAAAATATTTAAAATTATTCAAGGAATAAAAATGATATTTTAATAATAAAAAATAAAAAATAGATTATATAGAAGGATTTTATAAAAAATTATATTATAGTTTTAATTTTAAAATAACTCTTACCTATTATTGCAATACATTAATTTTTAGTAAAGAGGAGATAGGGATCGATTATTAATTACGATTTGGTAAACATTGATGTCAAAATATATTCAATAAATTAAATTGTAACTTTAAATAGAAATTCATAAAAAAAAATTAAAATTATATCTTAGCATAAAAAAATTTATTGTATTTTTATCACTTCTCTGCAATTTTCTTCAAAACATTTATCTTTGATCCTTAGATCAAAGAACCTAACAGTCCCATCTTCTCCACAAGATATGAAACAATTTCCATCTCTAGGAATTGGCAATACTTTATATACTGTTCCATTATGGCAATTAAATACATTTTGAGTAACATTGTTAATGTTATCGACATTATTATGATATCCATTAAAATCAAATTCCTCATTAATTTGAGTAACTATAATTTTTCCATCCCCAGCACAAGAGACAATCTTGAAAATTTTGATAATCACTTAATATTTTTATTAAATAGCAAACCTTTTTATGACTGTTATTTGGGAAAAATTTGGCACAGAAAATATTGTTATTGTGAATAGTTTTAATTGAATAAAGGCAATAATGTGTTATAGAATCAAATATATTTAGATAAAGATCATCAGAACCTGAGAGTAAATAATGACCATTATCACTCCAACATAATGTGTTTACCTGTTCTTTAGAATATATCAACTAATATTAATTAAAATATTTACACATCCATTATGTGCTTTAAACTTATCAATTATATCAAATTGCTGAATAACATTCTTAGAATCTATAAGTATATGATATTAAGTGAATCTAATTTTAAAAAATTACTTTTATAAGCATATATAAAGTGTTTAAAATCTTCTAATCCATAATGTAAAAGGTCCAAACTTTTAAGCATAATTAAATTTAAAAAAAAATTGAGGGCAATATTCTACATTTCTGCCAAAAATAAAATGGAAACCCTAATATAATACATTATATAATATTATAAATTTAAATACATCCAATAATTTATCTTCATAAACATTTTTCGTGCAATAAAATATTCTACAAAAGGCGTATATCTAAATGAATCCCTTAACGTATGATTTTTACAAAATTATAAATTAGAATATTTTATTAGGAATATACGAAATATCAATAAATTAAACGAAATAGAAGAACGATTGGGGATTAAGTCAGAAAATTCATGGCATCAGCAATATAAGAATAGTGCTTATATATTTGTTGGGGGTTTTTCTTATGAATTAACTGAAGGTGATCTTATATCAGTATTTTCACAGTAAGAATCCTAATAATTATTATGATTATGATATTTATTTTTAGATATGGAGAAATTTTGGATATTAATTTGGTTCGTGATAAAAAAACTGGCAAATCTAATGGATTCTGTTTTATATGTTATGAAGATCAAAGAAGTACCATTTTAGCAGTTGACAATTTTAATGGAATTAAAGTTTATATTTATCTAAATGTTAATAAATTAATCAGATTTTAGTTATTGGGTAGAACTATTAAAGTTGATCATGTTTCTGATTATAGAAGACCAAAAGACACTGGAGAAGAAGACACCACAACTTTAAAGTTAAGGCTAGAAGGTATTGGTCCAGAATCTCAACTTATTAAAGACATGGAAGAAGATAAAAGAAAAGATATAGATATTTTACCAATGGCTACAATTAAACAAGAACCTGAAGATGATTATAGTAAATTCTATAATATAATATTTATAACCATATCTATCTAATAATATAATTCCTTAAATTTTCTTTAACAAATATTCATAAAACATTAAATCTTTCTATTTAGATGACCAAGCAAAACATACTAAAAGATCAAAGAAATGTAAAACAAAAAGAACTTTGCATTCACCTAATCTTCATAGTTATCACAAAAAATCTAAAAAAGATCCTAACTCTAAAGGCAAAAAACATAAAAATAATAATAAGCATAAACATAGATCTTCTAATTCCTGATGTTGTTTTATAATCTTTATGTATTTATTACAATGTATATAATAATTTGTATTTTAGAATAATAAGTCATAGTTATATTACATGCAAATCATTTATTTGGTCACTCCACAGTTGCTCTATTGAAAGGGAATTTTGAGATAATAGAATCTTGGGGTGTAGAAGATAGTGCTAAAGGCATCTTTGGGATAAGTGAGGTAGCCTTAATGGAGATTAGCTATTCATGTTATTGGTTTGTTTGGCAATAGCTGGGAAATATCTTGGGAAGGTGGGTTTACAAAAAAATTTGGGGAGGGGGGCTTTGCCAAGGTCTTAACTATAAAATATTAGTTATTTTACCATGGTTTTCTGCATTTCACTTTTTTAAATATATATTTTTGTATTAACTCCATTAAAGTTGACTGAACATCTCTCTCTATGCTTTATAAAATGTATTAATTTCTCTTCATTATTAGGCTCTTAAATTCTGGTAAAATCTTTCAGAAAGAGAATGGTGAAATGTTTTTAAAAAAATAAAGAACTGAAGAAAATAGCCATGGAAAATAAATAAAATATTTTTAAAAAGGTTTTAAAAAAATAGAATATTCAAATAAGAACTAAGAAAAGATGACAAAAATACAGAGTCGTTTAAGTTTCTAGATACAAATATGTTGTATCTATATCTAGATGTAATTTAAAAAAAGTATATAAAATATTTTTAAAAAGGTTTTAAAAAAATAGAATATTCAAATAATAACTAAGAAAAGATGACAAAAATACAGAGTCGTTTAAGTTTCTAGATACAAATATGTTGTATCTATATCTAGATGTAATTTAAAAAAAGTATATTTATTTTTATACTATTTTAGAGGTATCTATATATGTTTTCGATTCTTTTTAAGATACATTTTAGTATCATTTTATCTTAAAATATGAGCACATAATTTAAATTTGGAATTTTTTAAAATAATTTAATAGATATTCCGCTATAGAGGTATTAACATTTTTTTTATATTTTTCATATGGTGTTCGAATTGAATGAGAATACAATATAAAACTGTTTACATATTTTGTGCTCTCATAATAAGCGTTTCTGTTCAAGAACAACGGCGAACCCTATATATATAAATAAGCATGATAAAATTGTTTTTTAGATACTTTTTTAAAATTGTTTCTCTATCGATGTGCGATTTTAGACGATGTATATCTATCTAGATTCATTTCTAGCCGATGTATCCATATCTAGATACATTTAAAAAGTATATTTTAACAACTCTACAAAATAAGCTTAAAAACAAAAATAAGGAAGATAATTGAAAGTTTAAGAAAAATTATTCAAGAATTATTAAACCAACCCTTTTTTTAAATATATAAAAAATATTTCCTTTTTTTGAGTAACATTTTTGATTGAGTTGGACTTTTTACTGTCTTTTGTACTTTTTCTTTATTGATTGGACCTCTTTCTTTTTTGAATGAATGTTTTCCTCTCTTGGATGGGAAACTGTATTCGATTTATGAATATGAGGTAAATATATTTAAAAATTGTGGTAACATATTATTAATATATAATAAACTTCTTCCTAGCCATTTTAAAGCCACGTTATCAATTGTTAACATGCTAAGATAAATATTTAACAAGATTATAAAATTAAGGTAAAACATTTCACTAATTAGTAATTACTAAGAATTTATAAAATACAAGTCGAAAATTTTTATAAATCAAGAACACAAAATTAGACCTATCTTTAAGAATTTTTTAATAAACCCCGGCATGGCCAAGGAAACATAAAACCCAGGGATTGTTGGGCCGAAATTTATTTTTTTTAACAAGTATGGGCCAAACTTTTTTTTTACAAATCCTAACGATACAATTGGAATCTCTGCTAGAGGTCTGCAATGGCCGTGTTTTTTAAATAAGTCAGCACACTCATTGTTTAAATCTATTTTTTAATCCAACCACCCACCCCCCCCCCCCCGACAAATGCTTAAAAATATTATAATGGCTGGTTTGGATCTTTTTAATTTATATATATTTTTAATTAAACATATATAGTATGCAATATTATTAAATAAAAAAATTATTTCTAATAATTTGAAGTCTGTTCTTAGTCTGATAAATATTAAAAATTCACCCCGGCCATTACTTAAAATTTTTTTTTTCTTTAATCACTGCAGGACATAAAAATTTTTAAACGATAAAAATAATCCTAAAATAAAAGGGCAACTTTGATTTAAACAAAGGATATGTTATGTTTCCTTTTTAAAAAAAGTATGGCAAAAGGTAAAGCTCAAATCGCGTGCACTATAATTCATATGAATGGGGTGACAAATTACTTAAAGCTCATTAAGTATTTGCATTTTTATTATGTTAATTTTAATAGTTGTATGTAAATATTCGCAAAATCTAGGGTGTTGGAATTATTTAATTATATTTTATATTTAGATTTATAAAACTATGATTTACCAGTTATTTAATTTTTACTTATAAAGATGATTTTTCGGCATAATTGTGGGATTTATGATTTTATAGAAATGTATATAACTTGTTATCTTTTTACAATTAAAACTTCCCTATAAAATGGGAGCGAATTGTATTATAAATTATTACTTTATTTTTCCATTTTATTTTAATAAAAAATTATTCTTAGATATTAATTCTTATGGCGGACAACAAAAGTTTAATAAATTGGAATTGATTGGCACAATACCTGTTTTGCATAAATAAACACTCAATTTGTTGGCACTATTACAGATAAAAAGAATCTTTTGAATACACTTAATCCAAAAAGCATTAGGCTTGATCTGATTTTTTATATTATATTAAAGTTTAGTACCGCCAGTAATCTAGGGTTGTAAGGCTAAATTTAACCAATTTTAAATTAAGATTTTATCTAAAAAATATTACACAAAACTTGATATCCAAGCCTATCTGTCATCTAATACCGAAATTTCCAGGCTTGTGTTATACATTTTCGTTAAGACATTGGACTTGCCAAGTTTAACCCTTCAATCGATGTAAATATAAATTTTCGGTTACTGCCACTCTCTGGGGGTAATGATATTTTTTTTTGAAAATGCTATAATAAATTTTTTTTTACTTATTTACTCTGGTGGAGTCTCACAAACCCCAATCAGTCACAAAATGCTTATATCTTAAAAACTATTCAACCAAAATATATGAAATTTGGAATATAGATTCTGAGATTTATTTGAATGAAGTTACTGAAGATTTTAGATCACAATAATTAACCTTCTTTTATGAAATATCAATTTTAGCATGCCTGTGGTTTCATATACCCCACTTAAAAATAACCTATAAATTTGCATTGAAAAAAATAATTTTTCATAAAATTTGTGTTTAATAAATGTTTATTTGCTATTAACAATTAAACGTTCATGAAGAATAGCAGCAAATGTTTTCATTATCAAAAAGATCATGAAACCAATATCATTGTATTATCAATTTATAAATAATTATTTATATTCCTTTTTTTTAATAATACCTAATATAGCATCTTTTAAAGGTTGACAATATTTTAATTATTGAACAGCTTCCAGACAGATAAGTATCTGTGTTATTGTTGTTGGGGTATAATAACCTAGATACATATATTTTTCACCTTCTAGTATATCAATAACTTTAGCTACTGGTTGCATAATCTAACTTTTTTAATTGTAAATTATTTATAAGACATCAATTTAAATTTACACTGCAATTTTCTTTAATAAAATCACGATCTTGTGATGTAAATCTATACAATTCTAATTCATCACATAATAAATATCGAAATCCAATGGCATTTCATTTATAAGTGATAATTAGACAAAGATATATAAAAAGAACCCCATCTTGTTACAATGGTATATGGCAGCTGAGAATGTAATCTCTTTTTAATTTCTCAACTGATGGCCCAGATTTGTTTTGTGTATACAAACATTGATATTTAGATATAGCAACCTTATACACTTTCCTATAATCCTCATTATTTAAAAGATTTTATTGGCATCTTGTGTTGCCACTAAGTTTAATGTGTGACAGGAACATCTTAGATGCCTGGGAAAATAGTCAGAAGTTATTTATATTATAATTGGTTAGCACAGAGGAAGACATTATATCTTCTATTAAAATGTATTCAATATCTGAATCATTATCTTCCTTTATTTAGATTTATACATACATATTTTTTTAAGTAACTAGTTACTTTTGGCAGTTACATGTTAAAAATAGTTAGTTACTAGTTATAATTTTTAAAATATAATTAATTAGTTATTTTTTAGCAAAGTTACCTTAACAACATTAACTAAGACTAAAGTAAATTTATTTGACTTTTCACAAAGATTGGTATTGTCTATTTAATCAATGTTTAATAATAAAGATTTATTCTACCAAATATTTTGAGCAAAATTGAATTAGATGATTTTTTTTATTTGTGATTTCCTCATATAAGATTTTGAATTTTGTGGACAATTTTATAAACCCTACTTGAGTATTCTAAAAAAATATCTTATGAAGATTTTAAGTGCCATTAAATTATTATATAATTCAGATGACAATTAATTTTTATTTAATATATTTGGAAAATGATATCTTTTTAAAAATATTAAAAGAAAATTTTAGTCCAGGGTTCAATTTTCAGAAATAACAAACAAGGAAATATTTATAAAAACACTGAAATAAAAATTATTTAAAAAAAAATTTAATTATTATTAAATAAATTTTTGTTCTATTTTATAATTTTTTGTAACAATATAAAAACTTAAATATTTTTTAAAATTCTTGATGCATGAGAGACTGGTAAATTTGTACCAATACTCTATTCATCTTTTACTAGTTCAAATAAATGAGTTTGCTATAATTTAAATGTAATCTACATTGTGAAGTCAATTATAATATAATTTATTTATTATAAAATATAATAAATATTATGTTAACATATAAATCTCATTATTCATTATCTACATTGAGTGTCTGTAAAGCTATAAATAATTTTATTATAAATTTAACAATATAGTATATTTACTTTTAAAGCTAGTAACTGGTACAAATGTTACTAAGGTATACAATTTATTAGCACTATCCTCATCTTCATTTCTTTTCCTAGCTAATCGTACTCTAACACGAAATGGAACGCTCCTAAAAATTAATAATTAGCTCAAAATAACAAAAAGTTAATACCTTATTCCCCTAGACCAAATTTGCCGATTTAATTTAACATCAATCCTAACATCTTCAGTACCCATTTGACATTTTGCAAATTTTCTTATTTCTTTAATAGCTCTTGGAGCACGGTATTTCCAACCTCTATGTAAATTTAAATTTAAAAATGTAATAGTTTATAATTTTACACTCCGTGAATCCTTTTATGTAAATTGATTGTATATTCTCTAGTCACAACTTCATTCAAAGCTGATTTACCTTTCTTCGATATTTTTTTTTTGGTCATGTTGAATTTTAAAGGAAAATGTTAAATATCAACTCGGTTTGAATATGTATTTTAAAAAAAATAAAATGAAGATATGATAATTTGACATCGAGAATATATTGTAGAATAAGATATGTTATCATAATCTTTTATATTATATAAGGAATAAAATAGCCATAAAATAACATTTTTTCTGTGCTATGTTGCTGCATATAAATCTTATCTTTAATATTTGTAAATTCAACTTGAATATATATTTATAGTGTTTAACATTTAAAGACAAACCAATAAACTTATAAATAATATATTTCTTAGCAAAATATTAATTTTCATAATTTCGTAATTATGTTTTATATTTAATTCTTTTATTTTAATTTTCTTTGCTAATTTTAGTATTTTCTATTTTGAATTCACTTTAAAAATATCCATATTTTAAAATTAAGTAAAAAATGATCATAATGAATATCATTTTTTATAACTTATTTATAATAAAATATTTTAAATGTCAGTAGATAGCCAGTCAAAAATGATGGGGAATGTTTATATTTTATTTAATAACCATATCCAATTTTAATACTTTTTTCCTCCAACCCCCCCACCCCCCCTTTCTTTTTCAACCCAATTCTAACAAATTAAGATTAAGAATGAATACTATTTTTAAATTTTAATATATTTTAACATTTACTAGAGGCCCATATCAAAATTCTTTGTTAAAATATTATTGATTACCTATATTATTTAAAATTAAAAAAATCCCAAGCTAGGTCAAAGCCCACAATAATTTTTAAAAAATTTCCCTAAATCCGGTTCATGACCATAATAATTTTGGTAGTTCAAAACTAAAATAAAATTTAAAAAAAATGATAATGCATTTTAAAATGTAATCAGAATCTGATATCTTCATGGTCCTTGATTTTTTGATCAGGCTTTTCCCAGGTAAGCAAAAATAATTTTTAGGCCAATGTCTGACCCATATTATATATTTAAAAAATTTCCAATCTTCCAAGACCTTAATAATTTTGAAAATTTTTTCCTCATCCAACCTATAATATTTTTATTTATACAAGCACAGCCCAACCCGTTATAATTTTGAAATTTTTTCCTCAACCTGGTCCAACACATAATAATTTTAAAAAATTAATTCCAAGCCTGACCTATAATAATTTGTAAAAGATTTTCCCAAACCAGGTTCAAACCTATATTAATTTTGAATAATATTTTCCAAGCCAAGGCAAATCCATAATAATTTTGACAAATTTTCAATAAGACCGAAGATAGTTAAATTTCTATAATTAATTTATCATAGCCTGGCTTTTGGCAAAGGGGGTGTATACCTGGAATTACAAATGGCGGGAAATAAGAAATTCCCTTGAATCATAAATAGTGCTGATAACATATGGCGATTAGTGTTGTTAATCGGCTTAGCCGAGTCGGCTCGAACGCAGCTCACCCAAATTTTGGGTCGTTTTTTCGACTCTAACTCAAAGTTTTGGTCGTTTTTTACGACTTCGACCCGAGTTCAAGCCGAAAAAAATGACTTCGACCCAAAATATGGGTCGTTTTTTTCGACTCCGACCCAAGTCCAAGCCGAAAAAAACGACCTCGACCCAAAATATGGGTCGTTTTTTACGACTCCGACTCAAAATTTGGGTTGTATTTTTCGACTCAAACTTGAAATTTGGGTCGTATTTTTCGACTCAAACTTGAAGTTTGGGTCATATTTTTCGACTCAAACTTGAAGTTTGTGTCGTATTTTTCGATTCAAACTTGAAGTTTGGGTCGTATTTTTCGATTCAAACTTGAAGTTTGGGTCGTATTTTTTGACTCATACTTGAAGTTTAGATCGTATTTTTTGACTCAAACTTGAAGTTTAGATCGTATTTTTCGACTCCAACTCAAAGTTTGGGTCGTTTTTCTGACTCAGACTCAAACATCAGGTCGTTTTATTTAATCCGACCCAAAATATGGATCTTTTTTTTATAAAGATGACTTAAAGTTAGGGTTGCTTTTTTTCACCCTTAACCCAATATCTAGATCATTTTTTTTGACCAAAAGTCAAATAACATTTAGTATATATTAATATTATAGGTGGGAAAGTTACTTAAAGCTTCTTTAAATTATAATGCTCTGGATTAACTATTCATCATAGTTATTTTTTAAAATTTTTAAGTGAAGATGCACCATAGAAAAGAGCCATTTGTTATGATGGTTATTTTTGAACTTTTTTAAATGAAATAGATGAAAATATATATTGTAGACATGTTAAATCAAAATTTCAGTGAAGATGTACCATAGATAAGTGACAATTGTCATAATCGCCATTTTTGAACTTTTTTGAGTTTTTTTAAAGCAAATTGCTAAAAATATATATTCTAAACATGTTGAATTAAAAATTCAGTGAGGATGTATCATAGATAGGTGACAATTGTCATAATCGTTATTTTTGAACTTTTTTCAAATTTTTAAAGCAAATAGCTAAAAATATATATTCTAAACATGTTAAATTTAAAATTTGTGAGGATGTATCATAGATAGGTGACAATTGTCATATCGCTATTTTTGAACTTTTTCAAATTTTTTAAAGGAAATAGCTAAAAATATATATTCTAAACATTTTAAATTAAAAATTCAGTGAGGATGTATCATAGACAATTGTCATAATCGTTATTTTTGAACTTTTTCAATTTTTTAAGAAATAGCTAAAAATATATATTCTAAACATGTTAAATTAAAAATTCAGTGAGGATGTATCATATATAGGTGACAATTGTCATAATCCTATTTTGAACTTTTTAAAATTTTTTAAGGAAATAGCTAAAAATATATATTCTAAACATGTTAAATTAAAAATTCAGTGAGGATGTATCATATATAGGTGACAATTGTCATAATCCTATTTTTGAACTTTTTCAAATTTTTTTAAAGGAAATATCTAAAAATATATATTCTAAACATGTTAAATTAAAAATTCAGTGATGATGTATCATAGATAGGTGACAATTGTCATAATCGCTATTTTTGAACTTTTTCAAATTTTTTTAAAGGAAATAGCTAAAATTATATATTTTAAACATGTTAAATTAAAAATTCAGTGATGATGTATCATAGATAGGTGACAATTGTCATAATCGCTATTTTTGAAATTTTACAAATTTTTTTAAAGGAAATATCTAAAAATATATATTCTAAACATGTTAAATTAAAAATTCAGTGATGATGTATCATAGATAGGTGACAATTGTCATAATCGCTATTTTTGAACTTTTTCAAATTTTTTTAAAGGAAATAGCTAAAATTATATATTTTAAACATGTTAAATTAAAAATTCAGTGATGATGTATCATAGATAGGTGACAATTGTCATAATCGCTATTTTTGAATTTTTTCAAATTTTTTTAAAGGAAATAGCTAAAAATATATATTCTAAACATGTTAAATTAAAAATTCAGTGATGATGTATCATAGATAGGTGACAATTGTCATAATCGCTATTTTTGAACTTTTTCAAATTTTTTTAAAGGAAATAGCTAAAATTATATATTTTAAACATGTTAAATTAAAAATTCAGTGATGATGTATCATAGATAGGTGACAATTGTCATAATCGCTATTTTTGAATTTTTTCAAATATTTTTAAAGGAAATAGCTAAAAATATATATTCTAAACATGTTAAATTTAAAATTCAGTGAGGATGTATCATATATAGGTGACAATTGTCATAATCGCTATTTTTGAACTTTTTCAAATTTTTTTAAAGGAAATATCTAAAAATATATATTCTAAACATGTTAAATTAAAAATTCAGTGAAGATATATCATAGATAGGTGACAATTGTCATAATCGCTATTTTTGAACTTTTTTAATTTTTTTTAAAGGAAATATCTGAAAATATATATACTAAACATGTTAAATTAAAAATTCAGTGATGATGTATCATAGATAGGTGACAATTGTCATAATCGCTATTTTTGAACTTTTTCAAATTTTTTTAAAGGAAATAGCTAAAATTATATATTCTAAACATGTTAAATTAAAAATTCAGTGAGGATGTATCATAGATAGGTGACAATTGTCATAATCGTTATTTGTGAACTTTTTTCAATTTTTTAAAGTAAATAGCTAAAAATATATATTCTAAACATATTAAATTAAAAATTCAGTGATGATGTATCATAGATAGGTGACAATTGTCATAATCGCTATTTTTGAATTTTTTCAAATTTTTTTAAAGGAAATAGCTAAAAATATATATTCTAAACATGTTAAATTAAAAATTCAGTGAGGATGTATCATATAGGTGACAATTGTCATAATCGCTATTTTTGAACTTTTTCAAATTTTTTTAAAGGAAATAGCTAAAAATATATATTCTAAACATGTTAAATTAAAAATTTAAGAGGATGTATCATAGATAGGTGACAATTTTCATAATCGCTATTTTTAACATTTTTTAAAGAAAATAGCTAAAAATATATATTCTAAACATGTTAAATTAAAAATTAAGTTAGGATGTATCATAGATAGGTGACAATTTTCATAATCGCTATTTTTAACATTTTTTAAAGAAAATAGCTAAAAATATATATTCTAAACATGTTAAATTAAAAATTAAGTGAGGATGTATCATAGATAGGTGACAATTGTCATAATCGTTATTTTTAAACTTTTTCCAATTTTTTTAAAGCAAATAACTAAAGATATATATCCTAAACATGTTAAATTAAAATATCAGTGAGGATGTATCATAGATAAGGGACAAAAAATGTTATTATATATACGAGTAGTAAGGTACATAATAATTTTTGAGTGATAAAATGAGATGCTAATATATTTCTTGTAATTTTAATTTATAAAAAAATTCTTAAATATGTTATTGTCATAGACTGGGTCAGAAAATCAACTATCACATAAACTCATCTATGTTTTATTCATATTATATTTTTAAGTTTAAGGATATTAAAATATTTCCTCTTTGAAGTTTCTAGTTAGGATAAAATTTACTTGGCACATCTTACAATGATATTTATACCTTGTTTTTTTTTCGAGAATAAATTTTATGCGA